CGGCGTACTCATCTGGGTTGACATCGTGGTCTGATAAGCGCGCACTATTCTCTGACAAGGTCGGGTCGGTAATAGCTGACGCAGGCGCTAGCGTTGGTGATGGTTGGGAGCACGTACCTGGGAGGGTCCCGCCAGCTGTAAACACTATCCGCCTATCTTCTTGAAGTGCTCCATCCAGACCGAGGCCTCCTCCTCCATCCAGCCCGCGGGGGCGGGGCCCACGTGGTGGAGAGCTTTCACCGTGCCGAGGCCCGTCGATGACGAGCAGTCGTGTGCTCCGGACGTCGTGGGTTTTCTGCCTGCTGGGTGAGGAGGTCCACGATGGCCCCTCGTCGAGAGGTGTCGTTGGCAGCTTGACTCGGGATCTCGCATGTTGCCAGTCGCATCGTGCTCCTCATCCGTTGAGTGCGAAAGAGAAGCCTGGCATCGTCCAGGTGTGGTAGTCCGATCTCCTGCGTCTGATCAAGGTGGACATGACCGAGCGTGCCACGTCGATGGTGGGTTCCTTGACCTCGTCGGCTGGCTGGCACTCCTCGAGGTGTCGTTGATCAGCAGCTTGACTCGGCCTCCGATCTCGCATGTTGCCAGTCCCTCCAGCATCGCCAACGCCAGTGCTGGGGTCGGTGGGCCCAGGCGTTGTAGTGCCTCTTTGTTCTGCTCTGATTTGTAGCCGTTGACCCTCGTGCGAAACCCCTCCAATTCGTCGCTGTGTGTGCGTGTGAGAAGCGGGTGAGTTACTGGCATCGTCCAGGTATCGGCCACCGCGCACATGAGTAGTCCGATCTCCTGCGTGTTCTGAAGCGTCAAGGTCATCAAGGACATGAGGAGAGCGTGCATGTCATTGTCCTTGTTCGTCCAGCTCTTGTCCGTAATGATAATGAATTGGATGTGTTGGATTCCTTTGATATGGACTTTAATGAGTTCAATATTGGAAATGTTTTGGAGACAAGTCCAAGGTAATTGTCAAAATTGTTGTTTGACCTCTGTGTGCTCGTCGTCCGCCTCGGCGTCGGGCTCGGCGTGGTTCGGCGTCGGCCTCGTCCGCGTCCATGTCCACCGCCTTGTCCTCCTCCTCGGGGGGGGGAGGTTGTGTCTGGCTGTCGGGCTGCTCCTCGTTTCTTGGCTGGTGGCTCGCCGTCCTTGGAGGCGCTGCCAGACTTGCCAGACTTGGTCGAGGACGGTCGGGGGCCGCGCCAAGGGGCGCATTTCTTACTTCCGTTGGCTTCCGCCGGCCTTTCGCCGGCGAAGGCGGCCTACTTTTACGTTCGCCGGCTTCCGGCACCAGTTCGCCGCCTTCCGCCGAGGACGCCTCACACGGCGGGGTCCGCAAACCCAAGATCGACAAAAATGTGTGCATCCCTTGAGAGCGCATTGCTGACGACGTGTAGGTGGAGGCCAGGAGGTAGTTCAGCAGCTTCAGTTTCAGCGCACAGAGGGCATTGGCCCCTCGCTCTTCCAACAAAAGACAAAAACGCGGCCAAAGGCCAACGGACCGCGTGGACTGGATAGACCAACAATGCACAGTATGTCATGCAGGCCACTATTTCGCAAACAAATATGTAGCATTGCGTGGTCCCAAAACGGGCGCGCCCATCTAACATGATCTCATGTCGTACTACCTCGTGTGGCCTTGGCACACCTGGTTGAACATGATGACATGTGGTCTCTATTACCCACAACTGGCATGAAACCTGATGTAGTACGATACTAGCTACCACGATACAACATGCCCCGAACGATTCTCCGCCACCTCTGACACGTTGGCCACTGCGGCCTTCGGTGAAGCTCCCTGTGGGGCTACGAAGCGTGTGATGGGGTGTGCCAAAATGGGCCTGGTGATGCATGTGATTCCTGCCACTGGGGCCTTCGGTGGAATTCCAAACGGGACCACGAAACGTGTGCGGGGTGCGCCAAGATGCGCCAGCAGACACGATGTGATTCCTGGCACTGGGGCCTTCGGTGGACCTCCCTACGGGGCCACGAACGTTTAAGGACTGTGGCAAAAATTGGCCTGTGGACGCGTGTGATTCCTTCCACTGCGGCCTTTGGCGGAGCTCCCTGTGGGGCCACGTGCCAAAGTGGGGCTTGGGACGCATGTAATTCCTGCCACTGGGGCCTCCGGTGGAGCTCCCTAAGGGACCACGAAGTTTGTGAGGTGTATGCCAAAATACGCCTTGGGCCGCATGTGATTCCTGCAACTGGGGCCTTCGGTGGAACTCCCTGAGGGACCACGGAACGTGTGCGGGGTGTACCACAATAGGCGTGGGCACGCATGTGATTCCTGCCACTGAGGACTTCGGTGGATGCGCCTGCGGATGCATGTGATCCCTGCCACTGCAACATTCGGTGAATCTCCCTGTAATGCCACGAAGCGTGTGATGGGATGTGCCAAAATGGGGCTGCGGACGCATGTGATTCCTGCCACTGAGGCCTTCGGTGGAATTCCAAATGGGACACGAAACGTGTGCGGGGTGCGCCAAGTTGCGCCAGCAGACGCATGTGATTCCTGCAATTGGGGCCGTTGGTGGAGCTCCTCATCTTCATAGTCCTCCTCGTTATCATCATGATCATCGTCAACATCGTTCCTCAGGCGAGAATGTTGTGGACGATACATCCGCGATCTGCGGATATCTTCGAAAACGGCCAATCGACAGAAAAACGATCCCCGAGCATGGCCCTCGAAATTCCAGCCCATGGGGCATGTGTTGGGGCTCTTCCGATGTCCTGAAGGTATCTTGGTGGTGAGGGTGTGCATTGTTGGACAGCCTGCGGAAGCTCAGCCCTGCTGAGCTATGCTAAATGTTGCTAAGCCCTGGCGAACCCTGGTAAGCCCTGCTCAGCCCTGGTAAGCTCTGCTAAATCCTATTACGCCCTGGTAAGTCTTGGTAAGCCGCACTAAACCTGCAACGGACTGGCAAGCTCTGTTCAGCCCTGCTAAGACTTGCAAAGCCTTGCTCAGCCTTGGCAAGCTGTCTTGAGCCCTGCTAAGCCTTGCTGAGCCTTGCTCAGCCTTGGCAAGCTTTGCTCAGCCCTGGCTTTGCTGAGCCCTGCTAATACTAAGCCCAGCTAAGCTTGGCAAGCCTGGCTCGGCCCTGGTGAGCCTTGCTGAGCCTTGCTCGGCCTTGGCAATCTTTGCTCAGCCTGCTAGTCCTTGTGAAGCTCCAAATCTTGCTGGGCGTTGCTGAGCCCTACTGGGCCCTGCAAAAAACTGGTAAGTCTTGCTAAGACGCGGTGAGCTCTGCTCAACCCCGGTAAGCCCTGCTGCACCCTACTAAGGCCTGTCAGCCACTGCCGTCCTGGTACGCCGTGCTGAGCCCTGGTATGCTTTGATATACCCTGCTGAGCTCTGCTAAACCTTCCCAAGCTTGGCAAACTAACATTGGGACCAGGATCAGGCAGGAGGGACGAGGACGAGGAAGAGGAGGAGGGAGGAGGATGAGGAGGGAAGTGGAGAGAGGGTGAGGTGGTAGAGGGAGTAGGGAGGAGGAGGGAGAGGAGGTGGTGTGGGCGAATGTGTAATCGTTCCCCCCCCCCCCCACAAAAAAAAGGGGCGGACGTCCGATGTTCTGGGGGGCGGGAAGAGGAATAAGAAAACACCCAGGAGTAGGGAGGAGGGAGAATGGGTGGTGGTGTGTGCGAGTGTCCGTGTGGGCGGGAGTGTTCCTCTTCCCGTCCCCCACCCCCCCGCCCAAAAAAATCTAGACGTCCGCCTCGTTGTTTGTTCTCGCTGTTCTTTGAAGGGAGAGGGGGGGCGGCAAGAAGAAGGTAAATCTTGAAAAAAAACAATCACACACATACACATCAACCACAAACGCAAACACACACACACACAAACACAAACACGAACACGAACACGAACACGAACACGAACACAAACAGAACACGGAGAGAATAACGAAGCAAAGAAGAGTGAAGAAAGGGTTCGACAGACCGCATACTCCACGATCCCCTGTCCTCGGAAATTCCGATGATACTGGGGTACGGCATATATACTCCTCCATACGATCGATTGTCACTGGACGGTCTATCTGCGATCAATTGTCCTACGTAATCTGATCCAATGGGGCGCGAGCCATCTGGTTAGGACCGCATGGGCGGCACCCTATAGCGTGCACCGCTCTGAAGGTCCTGGCCACTGGGGCTTGCTGAATTGGAAATGTAAAACACTGCATCAACATAAACTTTTCACGCTCCGCGCGGATGCCTTAGATCTGCGCTGGACCCCCCTCCCTGGCGCGCGGAGCGCGCTAAGGGTGGCGCCAGAGGCCAGAGGCGCTGCCGGGGGGGGGCCCAGCGCGGATCCAAGAAATCCGCACGGAGCGCCCAAAAAAGTTTATGTGTATGGCTGTTTTCTTCCTCGGTGAATGGGATGCACACAAGATCCTCCCAGTGCAAGCACTGGCTAGGGACAGGAACCAAGGGATGGAGCAAGATTAGAAAGCACGCAGAGCGCGGGGCGGGAGACGTTGCGCGACGGGTCAGCACACGCTGGAGGCACACAGGGCGACAATGAGCAGCAGTATGCCTGGCGTGATCCACGGTGGCTAGCAAGCACTCCTCGGGGAATGCGCACGCCCATCTACTTCATCGTGTGCCCGTGCACGTTCGACGAGACTGGTGGGGACAGAGACGTGCGCCCGAACATGAACATGTAACCGTACACGTGCACGTGCACGTGCAAGTGCACACACACACACACAACCACACACACACGCGCGCGCACACACACACACACACACACACACACACACACACACACACACACACACACACACACACGCGCGCGCGCGCGCGCGCGCGCGCATGACAATGATTGCGACAATGCGTGCAGGAGAACTCTGCGCATGTGAAAACGAAGGCAACTTCGGGAATCAGAACACAACTCGTGATAAGTGGAGCGTGGGGATGGGAAGACAGTCGGCGTGGGAAGGATAGGCACAGCAGGCGTGAGGCAGAAAGTCAATGCGAAAGAGAAGGCAATGCGAAAGGGACACATGGCATTTAACTTATCCCGCAGTTCAAGGACTTCGAAACATCAGAGACTGTTGCAGCGATTGATTTGTTCCGCCATCTCTGAACGCAGAGCTGCGTGCGTGTTGACGCTATGTCACTTGTACCGCCCATCTGACGAGCTCCCACTGAGGAGGAGGACGAGGAGAGGGGAGGAGGAAGAGGAGAAGGGGTAGGGGTAATAACGCAACGCGCGAGACCCCAGACCCAGAACGCCAGCAATCAACAACCGCGCAGGGAACTACCGCTGCAAACAGTGGGCAGCACGCATGCCCAGTGCCGAAGACGGGCGACAACGAGGGCGCGGGAAGAGCTCTGGCGGACGAAGAAATGCATCTGTGTCTAAGGAAAGATGTCCTGCCATCGGGAACGCATTGACTACCTACCAGACCACCCCAACCCAACCCGAAGACCCGAATTTCGGGTTGGGGGGGTAAGGGTTCCACGCGTGTTTTTTCGATGTTTCCCGACCCCCCCCCACTAGAAATCGAGGGTAAATCTGAGCCTTCGGGTTGGGTTGGGTTGGGGTGGTTTGGTGGGTGGTGACGCATGGCCCAGGGCGGCTGGGAAATCTTTCCCACTGCACGGTGGCGCGCCTGGGGGGCCCTGGGCGGGGTGGGCTATCGGGCCCCTATGGGCGCGATAAGTGGGCGCTGGGGGGCCGATGCAGCCCCCCGTCGAGCCATTGCCACCCCCACGCGTTGCTCCTGAGCACTGCCGACGCGGCACCTGCGAAGGCGCCGCCCAGCAGGAGGAGGAGGAGGAGGAGGAGGAGGACAAGGAGGACGAGGAGGAGGAGGACGAGGAGGAGGAGGAGGAAGGAGGAGGAGGACGAGGAGGAGGAGGAGGAGGAGGAGGAGGAAGAGGAGGAGGACGAGGAGGAGGAGAAGAGGAGAAGCCGCCCGACGAGCGCCGCAGATGATTGGCGGCGCGCACAAGGGGGCAGGGGGAGTGGGGAAAGCTTCTTGGAAGGAGGCTGCTTCTTCGAAGGCGTCGGCCCCGCATGTGTAGATACGACCCTCGCCTTCTAAGAAGCAGTATGTTTCTAAGAAGCCTTCCCCCTCCCCCTACCCTGAGGCGAAGCGAGGACGAGGCTGACATCCGGTGAAGATGAATCGAGAATAGTTGGGATGAAGCGGCTCCGGAGGATGTTTCGGGCGCCGCGGCCTTCTCAGAGCGTTCCAGAACGCTCTGGAGCGGATTTTGCCCCCCGTCTTAGCCCCATCCGACAGACCCCCTCGGGTCATGCAAAGATCACGACGGAAGGTTCTTCGCTATTTTCGCTCTCTAGGGGCCCTTGCCAGGCCGCGGGGCCGTCAGGAAAGGACTCTGGATGAAGAGCTGGCCCCAGGGGATCCAAGGCCACGCTGGCGGCGGCATTGGTCAACGGCGATGTTGGGAATCTGGTCTTTGCGACGCCGAGCTCGCGGAGAACAAACTGCAAGAAATCGCAAACCACACTTTCCTGCGTCTCAAAGAAGCGACTGGATCGAGCGAAAACGGCACGATGAGAATTGCAGGAACGCAGGAAGAGCGCTCTCCTACAACTGCGTTGGCCACGAGACAAACCCACCTACAATATACCGAAACGTGCATCCCCGTTGCCTACATCGCCGTTGGCGCGTCGACGGGAAATAGGGCGAGACCTCTGTGGTGCCCTCGTTCTGAAAAAAAACATGCCGTCGGGGCAGGAAAGCCCAGCATCGAATCGACAAGCCGGATCGGCCATCGGCGTGAATCGGATCGGCGGAGATCGGCAGCCGAGCCGGGAGGAAAGTCGGACCGGCAGACAGCGGCAGGCCAGCGGGCCTCCACTGAGAGGTCGGACCTCGCATCGGAACCCGAAACCAGATCGAATCGGAATCGGAGGCCACCGAGATCGACTCGAATCGAATCGGAGGAGTCGAATCGAAGCGAAGCGGAGGAATCGGAGTGAACCCTGCCGTGGGGGCGGTGAGGGTCGGCGCCCCTGCCCCGCCCCGCCCACAAGGGGGCGCGCCGCGTCCTGCCCGCCCCGACGCGCTTCGCACGCTCGACCCGCACATCCTCCTCCTCCTCCTCCTCCTCATCCTCCTCCCTCCTCCTCCTCCTCCCTCCTCCTCCTCCTCTCCTCCTCCTCCTCCTCCTGCTCCTCCTCCTCCTCCTCCTCCTCCTCCTCCTCCTCCTCCTCCTCCTCCTCCTCCTCCTCCTCCTCCTCCTCCTCCTCCTCATCATCCCGCCGGCGGGCCGGAGCAGAAAAGGATCGGTGGGGGGTCCTACGCGCCACCCGACGGGCAAAAGCAGAACACTGGGAAAGCACCCCGCAGGCAGGTCGAAGCGCCACCACGGGAAAATAAGACCGAGCAGTGCAAATACGCACGCCTCGCTTTGCGCGGCGAAGAAGGCAAGAAAACAGCACGATGACGAACACACGTCGTGGTCTGGACGTCCTCGACACAGGCACAAAAACAAATCCGCACCTCACTCGCCACCGCTCCCCACGACGCTCCGCAGAAAGAGTCGAATCGACGCGGGAGAGCCGAGGTGCATCCGGGACTCGGCCTGTCACGATACAACCTGTCTGGAAGAGGGTGGGAGAGACACGATCGCAGGCGAGCCTCGGAGGGGGAAGTGAGAAGGGGCGGGCCTTCTCAGAGAAGGCTCGGAAGTCCCTGGGCCTTCCGAGAAATGTTCCTGAGCCTTCCCCGAAGGCACAAAAAACGTATCAGAAGGCGCGAGGGCCACCGAGAAGTCCCGCCGCCTCCTGAGAAGGCCCTCTCCTTCTCACTTCCCCCCCTCGCCCGCCGCCAACACGAATCAGGAAGGCGGTTGAAGAAGAGTGGATTGCAACCCGCCAAGGTAATAGACGGTGAAATCAGGGCGCCGGCTGCTCTTGAGGGAGGAAGGCGCTCGAAGCGGATGTGTTTCTGGGAGTCCAAAACAAGTGACTTCAACGAACGGACTGCGCGACAGCATCACATCGCGATGGCGTCGGCGTTGGTATCTGGCACCGCGCGAATCGTTCAGCCTTGAACAATCTCGGCGTTCCGATGGCGCAGACCGTTCAATAACGGCCGGGTTCCGAGCCACTGCGGGCGCTCAGCCTTGGAACGAACCTCGCCAGCGTCCCAACCGCCTCGACGCGGCGCGCACACGAAGAGGGCGGCAAGGTCTCCCTCCCTCCACCCACCCCACCAACACCAAGGGGACCAAGGACACACAAATAAATACACACAAATAAATGTATTTCACATATTTTCCTATATTTTCCGGGTTTTTGTCTTCCCGCCCAATTCCCATAGTTTCCTACATTTTCTTGGGGGTCGACGATTCATTGCGTCTTTGTGTTTTCCCCTCCTGACAACTCCCGCCCTGCGATGCCCTGCGACGCCGGCCGGCCCCGCGGTGCCGGCCGGCCCCGCGAGGCCTCCCGCTCGCCGCAGCGACAAGCGCTCGGGCGGGGGGGCAGACGGCGGCGGTGCCGCGAGGCGCCCCGAGATGGTTTATTGCGCGGTGCTCGGCGGGGAGGCCGCGCCGCCGCCGCCGTGCACACGGCCAGAGATTTGCGGGTGCGGCAAGGCTCGGGCTGCGCCGACGAGGGCGGGCCGGGAGGCGTCGAAGGCCGAGGAAGCACCGACGGCCTATCGCGGGCCTTCCTACCAGCAGCCCTGCCTCTGTCCGGGTGCGCCACCGAGAGGGTTCGGGTGCAACGGAGAGGGCGAGCCAGGAAGAGCAGAAGCAGAAAAAGCGCCGTGAACATACACTGTCGGCGCTCCGCGCGGATCTCCTGGATCCGCGCTGGACCCCCCTCCCTGGCGCGCGGAGCCAGAGGGGGTCACAGAAGCAGAACAGAACGAGAAACACACAAACCTATGGCGCTCCGCGCGGACTCCCTGGATCCGCGCTGGACCACCCTCCCCAGCGCAAGGGGCGCGCCAGGGGGCCGCAGCGCGGATCCAAGAAAACCGCGCGGAGCGCCGAAAGTTTATGTGTATGTAGTTTTCTTCTTCGAGACGAGGAGCGGGGCCCCTCTTTCCCATGAGTTAAACTTCGACTTCCCACGGGAAACCTAGCGGAAGCCTGAGGCAAGGTGTGGAATCACTGAGGCGCCTTCTGCGAAAGAGGGGGCGAGCGCACCCTTGCCCGAGGTACGTGCGCGGACGACGGAGGTTGGGCCACGGAGCGCGATGAACGAAGACGAGGGGTCCACGATCTGCGCACGGCCCCAATGCTTACACGTCGGTCGGAAGAAGCAGGTAAAAATAGGAAGCAGGGAGTCGGACAAAGCAGATCAGGTCCAGATCCTCCCAGAGAACAGCAAACCTCAGCAAAGGCAGATCGATGTTTGAAGTACGAAGGCGCTCGAAGTAGATTGGGACCTGGGAAGCCAGAAAGAACCCACTTTCAACGACCGGCGTGTACCCTCTCTTGGGCGACCTCCGGGGCCGCGAGCCGAGGCAGGACGGCCGGCCAAGCTGCAGCGATCCACAGGCAGGGACGCGCACCGGCCGTGCCTGCACGACTGGAAGCCACGACTACGAGGGCACGCTTGGGGAGGGAAAGGCGAAGAGGGGGGGGGGGACCTCGAAATCCATGGGGGGAGGGGGAGAGTGAGGAGCGACACGATTAGAAAAAAGTCTCCGGCCGAAACCCCTAATCGTGCCCTCCCCCATTGTGGAATTTTGGGAGGGGGGGGGCCCAATGTTGCTGATCGGGTGCCCACACTAAACTGCCGGAGGTCCGCGCGGACTTCTTGGATCGGCGCTGGGTCCCCCTGGTGGTGCCTCCGGCGCCGCCCATTCCACGCATCGGCGCGCCAGGGAGGGAGCTCTGGCGCCGATCCAAGAAAGCAGCGCCGACCTCCAAAAGTGTGTGGGTGTGCCGTTCTTCCCTCGACTGGGCGGACAGAATGGCCAAGGCTGCGGCGGCCTTGATTCCTGCTCCGTCCCAGCTCGAGCTCGAGTCACACAGTTCCCATTCCGAGTGCCTCAAGAGATGTCCGAGGTGCGCT